GTGCAGCATATTCATCTGAAGAATATCATGAACGAGAGATTCGGTTGAGTCTCTCGTGAAAACCCAGTTGATAGGTAAATGAGTGCATCTGCAGAGATGTTGTTCTTTTCGCTCTGGGGATCCCAGCATAAAGACATTTCGTACCGGCTATTGGTTGTTGGTCAGGTGGCTGTTGATCTGTTCGCGGAGCTTGGCAGTTGGCTTGCAAATGCTTCGTCACCATACGAGGAGACATCATCAGTGCGCAGTTGGGTGGGTACTTCTTCCTTGCCTGCGTGCTTATATAGCAGCCAAAGGCTATCTGTTATCATCTGCTGGAGGTGTTACCTCCAAGGCGGTTTCCAGAGCGGTCTTGGTGCTACACCAAGAGATGCTAAAACAAGCACAGGCTATTTTCATAAAGTAAAACACTCACAAGGTTGCTGAAAACTCTTCGACAGTCCAATTTGGGTCCAAGTAGAACATTAGGTTGACGGTGGAAACTCGAGGACTGCATCTAACTGATAAGCAAACCCAAGAAGAGCGAAACGGTCGTGGGCTGTCGAAGAGTTTTCGGGACCCTTATGGGTAGTTTCATTTATGAAAATATTCTACGATATCTCGAATATCGTGCCAACTGAAACATGAGGCGGCCTGTGCGCAGCACGTTCAGCTGTAGAATATCATAAACGAGAGATTCAGTTGAGTCTCTCGTGAAAACCAAATTGATTTGCAAATGAGTGTATTTCTTGAAGCACAGGTTCCTATTGTCTAGACACTGATAGAAAGGTTGTTCCCTCCACTAACAGGCAAGATAACAAAGTAATTGATCGATCTCGCATCACGTGGATGTGAACCGTAATAAAAAAATGTTTATTCTTCTACGCTTGATACTGTCCTTCTAGGACACATTTAATACTCTAACCCAATGTTTTATGACCAAATCTGCGTTTTAGGTGGCATTCGTGTCAACCCACGGGTGTTCTAAGGCGAAATTTCAAAATAGCCCATATATTGATTTAGTTCGTCTCATTCTTTGCTTATCCTTCCATCTAGCCCAGTTAACCTCTTGTTTACTGCTCATTCAAGTGTTGAGTTCTTGATGTTGGGTGCCCAGCTGCCATGCTCCCCTCAAAGGAAGCACGAGGGCTGGGATACTGTCAGGTTACCCAAGTCTAGACAGAGGAAACCGGGAGGCAGAGGTCGGGTTCGAACCACGGAACTCCCGGTCAGTAAATTCAAGCTCTAACCACTCGAACCATCTCGCCATTTGATGGAACATACTACTCATATAATTGCTGACAACTGTTCGACAGCACACAGCTTATTTCGTCTGTCTTAAAGTTCACCGGATGTGCATAGTCCCTGAGTTTCTATCAGTTCAGTAGAGCTTCCGTCAAAGCCAACTTTGTAAACAGATGAGTATACTTCCAGCATTACAGTGAAACTTGCTCAAGATTTCATGTGACAGTTGTGGTCACATGACTTGTGTTCCGTTTATTATGCCTTCCTGTTTAGGTAATATTCAGGAGGGGTCAGCCTACTGGAAGGCATGGACGACGCGTTGTACTTCTCTTAAAAAGGTTTTTCCTTCAGAAATCGATGCTGTCTGCTAGAAGTAGCTTGCAGGAAAACTGCACACAGGACTTGGCAAGACGATACACTATCAATTTAACGCGTTTGTAGACAAGCTACTCAGCAACATAAACCGAAAGTTCATGGGCACAAAAGAAGGTGCTGTAACTTCCCTGGAAGATCCGTCATTCGAGGACGGTGTCCACCACAGTACTAACCAGTTGGATCCAGGGGACCGGTTACTTTCGCTCAAGGCGCACAATAGTGAAATCAAACTATTCGTCTTGAAAGCTTCAGACAATTATATTTCGTAAATGGCGACTACATGGTAAGTTTCGAAAGAAAACAAAGACATTTGGGCCCTAAGTCACGTGACATTAATCGCCGCTATTGCAGAAGGCTAGTGCCATCGTCTGCCTAGTTAGTCGAACTGCTCATCGGCCTGCGTTGCTCAGATTTCTCTCAGAGTTTTCAAATCTACATAAGTCTTCAGAGAACAGTGACTGACTTGTATTTACCGAATGATATAATAAATTCTGGGTACATTCCGGGTACATTCTGCGTACATTCCGGGTACGATTTGCGCAAACCTTCAGCCTACGATAAGAGATAACACTTAGGAGGCTAATTGGGTCTCCTCATCGCTTTGTTTCACTACAGAAAGACAGCAAAACTTCTCTGGATGCCTCCTTGGAGCATCATTCACTGGGAATCCTCAGATAGGCGCAACGTAGCCAACTGTAACCGGAGGGAGCGAATCATGATTCTTGGACAATTTGAGCAGCTTCTTTATGTTTTGCCGTGCACACTGATAACTTTTGAGTAGGCCATTGCTATATTTCTGCCATTAGAGTAACAGTATCAAATTAGTCAAATCAGTAAAGTCGGTATTGACAGCAACTAGAGTTATTCATTAAGCCAGGTGCCCGACTCATCAAGTCATCAGTCAAGATTTATTTACCGACCTGTTTTTCCTAAACATGTTGGGCTCATTTACCAGACAATAGGCCAGACTACTGCCAAACTCACTAGAGCGCATTCTCACCTTTTCTCAGCATATTTTCATTGTTTGTCTCAGATACCTATCCATCCTTACAAACAAAGAAACCTGAGAATGAGTCATGGCGAGAACGGTTTTCTAGTAGCGATTTGCGCAAACCCAATGCCGGATGGGTGTAACCTCGGTGACCATATTTCTCAAACTATGTCGCGCCAGTGAAAGAAAGACACATGAAATGAACTAACATGCTGGCAAATTACACAGCCCACATGAGGTTTGTGCTATAAAATTGTCCTTGATCAATCATAGAAGACAAAAAAAGTCTGTGGAGCAGGATGTTTGTGCTATCAAATTGTCCTTGATCAATCATGTAAGACTAAAAAAGTCTGTGGAGCAGAAATGCGTACACCTAGTTCCCTGAGAAGTAGTTAACGAGTGGTTTCCTTGGTGTACTGTACCAGTTATGAGTGATGGAAGCCATTGTGTGACAACTTTCGGGTGAAAACCATCCGGTTGGCCTGTCCTCCACGCATTGAAACCCTCAGTTCATCACCTACATATCGCACATGCTCGAAGCTCCCGTCTCTCCCGCCCTATTCAACCGGATCCAGTGTCGTTGTGATGGCGAGGCTGGAGCTGACAGCGATAAGGTCATGATCGAGACCGGTTTCAACATCGACGTCTCAAAGAAAGCGATATTACAATCCTCGCAATAAGTCACATACTCCGTCTTGCCAGAAATAGAGCGCTTGCTCCGAGGCTGAGGGCTCTCTGTGCGCAGGTAGGTTTTACATCTGGACTTGAGTTAAAAATTGGTCCTTATGAGAGCATGGTTTTTCAGTGAGGCAAAACGAACGATGAAGAAGAGGCTGGAGCTGACAGCGATGAGGTCATGGTCGAGACCGGTTTCAACATCTATGTGTCAAACAATAAGTCACATACTCCGTTTTGTCAGAAACACAGTGCTTGCTCCGAGGCTGAGGGCTCTCCGTCCGCAAGTAGGTTTTACATGTGGACTTGATCCTGATGAGGGCACCGTCTTTTCAGTGGGGAAGGAACTTGCAGGAAGAATGACTGTATTGCATTAGAATCGTACACAATTTGGAGCGAAATATGCTTTGCTGCTGTGGACGTAATCACAAAAATCTCAGAGAAACGGGAGCGTAAAGGGCGCAGCCCTGTAATGAAGAGTTGAATGTAGAGTCTATTTTGGAACTAAATTTCAGTTGTATTTTCCTAAAGGAAACTACTCACAAGGTTGCTAAAAACTCTTCGACATCCCACGACCGGTTTCTTCAGCAACCTTGTGAGTAGTTTGCTTTATTAAAATATACTGCGATATCTGGAAGATCGTGCCAACTGAAACTTGAGGTGGCCTGTGTGCAGCACATTCAGTTGTAGAATATCATAAACGAGAGATTCAGTTGAGTCTCTCGTGAAAACCAAATTGATTTGCAAAGGAGTGCATTTCTCGAGAATTTCAGATACTCTAAGCGGTTGTGGAATGTCGGTAGAAGAGCGCTTGTTTGGAACTCTTACGGGCGGTGGCATCTCGTTGGGAAAGAGCTTTCTTGGAAAGTTGATTATTGTGCGACAAACAGGACTTATGTATTTTTTATGCGGGACGGGTGCGTCCAACATTGTCCAGCGTCTTAATTGGTAGATAATGACCTCAGCTAATTTCTATGTCAGGGTCAAACCGCGATAAGGATACCACACTGATCCCCAGCTAGTCCTAGTGATTTCCCAAAACGGAAAGCGGGTTTTTTCGGTGGTCAAGGCCTACTTAAAAGTGTATATAAACTGGACCTTTGTCACACTTTCATGTGTCGAAATGAAAAAGTTTCTCGAATTAACGTATGCACTATCTTCACTGACGAAAGATCTGTTTTCCATTAGGACGTTGATTGATTTCCGCAGTATAATGAACAAAAGGCAGTTGTGTGAAATGTACGGAGCAAAAAACGCGTTCGGAACAGCCTCCGGCGAGACATTGATCACGTGACATCACCCACTACCTGATTTCACGTGACCAGTCGCTCGATCAACCAAGTTAAGCGATTTCAGACCCGATTGGTCAGGTTTTGAGCGTAGTTTAGATCGACCACTGGAAGCCGACAGGTTGGTTAGTCTGAATGGAGACGGAAATTTTGTGAAGTACGCTTTGACTGAACAACACCCTATTGAAGAATTTGAATTTTTGAAGTTACCACGACATGGAGTTATATTGATTAGTTATGGGAGAAAAACAGCACGCTCGTTATGTCCACGGTTACATAGAGGTTCATCTTGTTCCCATATTAGGCCTCGGTTGACTCAGTGACCTTGGTGAATTCCAGAGCGTGTACTGGGTTCAGCAGAGTAATTAGTGAACGCTGAGGTAANGGCTAGTGATACCAAAAGTTGATTACAGACTGCTGAGTGAGAGCTAACGATGGGTAAAAAGGCCTGGGTCCAAAGAGGAACCTGCTTCTTTTCTGACCAGAAGGTTGTACCCATTCAACAATCACGTTTGAACCGAAGCGACTACAATGATTTGATCCAAGTTTTCATTAGAAGTTCGTGGGAAACTATATAAGTGTAACCCCAAGGATACCTCAGATGTAACACAGACTGCTCTCTTTTGTCGAATGCCTGACCTCAAGTGATTAGGCCGTTTTTGTATGAACTACAAAAATTTCGTTTAATTGCTTTTTACTTTAGCCCCGAGCGTCTCGACACCATCTCGGCATCAACTTTCAAGATCCCTCTAAGCGGCCTTTGTAGGCATTAGAGACTAGTACATAAGAATGCCTTGAACGTTGACCCAGGTATACATGACAAACATAGTTTTTTCCCCCGTGTAGAATCTTGTGACAACCCCCAAGGTAAAAACCACGGAGTTCATCTGCCAGTTTCTAGTCCCGTCACTATTCACAGGTAGACGAGCAGTATTTCGAAAGAAGAATTGATCCTCACTTGCAAATCAAGTTGACGTTAACCAGGGATTCGATTGAACCTCAGCTGAATCCATCGTTTGTGGAATTCTTTAACTGAAGTTCCTACGCACTTGGGGACTTCGCTTAACAGATGTGCCGCAAGGTGGGCAAAACTGGCTGTGGGCTGCCGAAGAGTCTTCTGCGACCTCATTGGTACAGTAGTCCGTCAAGAAAAGGTGAGTTCTATCAAAAATGGGCCACTTAGCAACTGGTTTCCTCTCATGAACTAAAAATCGATAGAACACTCTTCAAAGGGCAGGTTTTAAATCGTACGACTTCGTCATACCTGTTCACCTTTGTTGCACAGCACATCGAATTTCTGTTCAACGGAACAAACGCATTTGTCTCTGCTTTCAGGTTGCAGCGAAAAGCTCGATATTATTAAGCTGTTTGTTGCGGCTAGTTCAACTTGCCGTTGAGGAATCGTTGAAATATGCATCCATATTCGTATATCGATTTACAATCTGGCTGTTGTTAATTAAAAATCAGGGTTGAACTGCTTCTGGCATCAGTGGACAGAAACGCAATACCTTGCGGAACCTTTCGGTCTATGCAAAATCCCCGCAACATTCAGGCGTCCAGAGAAACCAGACAGTATTGAAAACTACCTTCTCCCGCAAACAGGAACGGTTGCGGTCGATTTTGGGTCTTGTATGGTAAGGCGCGAGATTAACTGGGAAGGCGTTTCTACTACATTAGTTGCGCGAAAATGCTAGGAGAGTCGATTGAACTCTAAAATTGTGGAGCTTAAGCAGCTGCTCTAAGGTGGCAGAGGGGCCGGAGAAAATCACACCCAAATAGGATACGACAAATGAAAGATAGATACATAAATAGATAGACAGATAGATAGATAGATAGATAGATAGATAAACATGAGTAAACGGAGTGGTGGAAACAGCTCTTACGATGATCTGCGTGCTTTTGACGTTATTTCTTTCAACAGATCTACACATGTATTGGTAAATCCATTGAGAAATAAAATTGGATGCTTTCAGATTAACCGGTGACGTCTCAAACTACGGAAACATGAAAGCACTGTATACAGCACACCGCTTGGTTCACTAAAACTAGCTTGTCGTCATAAGTTACCGATGATTTATGCGGTCTCCTTTGTTTAAGCAAGGACACCTGAGTCTTTGTTGGACGGTCTTTGTAGGTAATTAGTTTTCCGGAGCGGCTGAGTGTTCCCACCTATTTCACTAGATAATTATCATATAAGACAACCTTCTTAAAGGATGACTATCGTTAACTGTACTGAACAAAGCAGTTGGTACCAGGGACGGTATAGTGCTTTTGTTTCCCCCGTCTTCTAAGCTGCCCTAATCTAGTTTCGTTTGCAATAGCCGTTTCATTCCTCAAACCAGTTACTATCTACATCGACTGTACAAAAAATTGCTTCGAAAGTAGAGCTTTCCATGTACTGTGGGAATTCGGTCATGCCGCTAGTGTGTACATTACTTCGCCAATTGAACCAGGTCACCCATAGAGACCTGCGCTCATTGGTGAGGTATGCAATCGGTGCCTTGCTTCGCAAGGCTTCGCTTGAACCCACTTTAGTTTTTCATAGAAAATCTATACAGAGCCTAGCTTGAATAAAACCCCACAAGTTCATGTGACCGTTTCTACTTGCTGGCTTGAAGAGGGGCAGACGACGATAAAATGCGTCAAAACTGTATGTTTTTTATCTAGCTACATTAAACAGTAAAAACCACTGTTATCTACGGCTTCAGTACGGCTGAGAAGGTTGATGAAAGCCTGTCAGTGTGTTACCGGTTTCGCCAACCTTGGAGCTCCTCAGTTAGAACTAGTAACTGAACTTAGGTAGTCATATGTCAGACTGGATTATCCACCTGTAAGTATGTGGTGAGACACACTATTCTGAGCATTGACGTAACGAGGCGCGTTTTCGGTTGTGCAACGGGTACTTCCATTGAAGAATGTGTCCAACACCAGAAGCTGCGTTGGTTGGGACATGTTTTACGCATGCTGAACCATCGTTTGCCGAAGAGAGTGCTGTTTTCCATGCCCAATTCAGAGTGGCGTAAACAGACAGGTGGCCAACCCTTGACTTTGCAGAGGAGTATGAAGGAGATCGCGAAACGGTTGGTTGCTGTCGGTGCTAATCGCCTTCCAGGATGGGGACCGCGTGATCCTCACAGCATCTGGTTGGTGGCACTACAAGATATTGCTGTCAACCGATATCAGTGGCTTTCTTGTTGTCAGTTTCTATCCAGATTGCCTGAGTGAATGTCTGGAGGTATGGGCGCCTCAGAAGGATTGTGGTAAGCTAGCACTAAGTCCCTCCCCCGTCCACCTTTACTCTTTTCTTTAGAATAAGGTTTTCAACTAAATCATGGTTGTACGGCAGTGAAGCGTCGGCGTTGAACACATATCATGCTGTCGGTGATGTTGATGTTGATGATGATTATGATGACGATTGAGGTTGGTGGTTATGTGAAATGCCCCTTGAGTGTCCCGTGGTAGGCTGTCCAGGTTTTTGTCGACTTTGTGAGTAGTATTTTGACAGTAGTTGCAACTGAAACATGATGTGGCCTCTATGACCTCTGTGTATTCAGCTAAGGACTAGAAATTCATGTAAGTTTTCATCAGAATCTCCACTCAACACCTATCTAATTTGAAAACACGTGTTTATTGCGAAAATACGCCATCGATGTTTTACGGTATGCACGAAAATGCGCAATTTTACGAACTTTGATACATTAGTTATCGATCAAGCTTTGGTTTTGACACGCAATTGACACGTCAGAGTCAACGTACAAAGTAGTCAACGGCAAATACGTAAATTCATCAGGCCTTTTAGACTGTAGCTATTCGGTGGATACCTCTTTGTACTATTGATTTTCACAACTGACTTGGAATACGAAAAATATCGGCAGTGCTCTGTCTCACCACTCCGTCCATCCGTGTCACATTGGTGTTGGCACTAACGCCAGTATTCATGTACAGACAAATTCCAATTGAACTCTGTTATATACATCTCCGGATACCTTGGAAACGTCATGGCCGTGGGAATTCGTGGACAGTAATCAAAATGGAGGTCTGGAGAGTACACATTCGAAGGATTTTATCTCTGAGCAAGTTGAGCTGTCCGTCCTCCGTTCTCGCCGTGCCAGGACTCAGAACGCCAATTTAGTTCTTGTTAGTAGTGTGAGATGAATTTTCAAATTTCGATGAAGACTTTGTCAGGAACGCCAGAAAACAGTTGAATACGAAACTGTCCAGACGTGCCCGACTGATTAACTCGCTATTGGACAGGATATAGCGCCACTTGTCCTTCAGTCACGGGATTCACATCATTTGGTCATGTGACTGGCTCCGTGTGAATTATGCTCCCGTTAAATTTGCCTATATTTTGTTGGCATTTGTCTGATGTAAATGCCACATTTTAGATGCTACGGGGATGTGGATATGTTTCAGTTTCAACACAATTTGTTCGCCAAAATACTTCGCTGAGATCTGAAGGTGTATGCGAGGTACGCTGGTTGAAATTTCGTTCCCCAAGACGAATTATCTCTCCCAGGAAGACTCTCAACTTCGCAAGTCCGCCCCATACTTTAGTTGATAGGATATTCGAGCTATCTCAATACCTTGTCTAGACGTAACACACTACTCAAAAGTTTGCTGATAATGCTTGGACGACGCACGACCGGTTTCGCACCTCATTATATGGATGCACTCCCCGAGTTTCACTGAACTTTAACCCAAATTGTACGCTGGAATCACTTGGTTATTCCTTTAAAAACAAATCAAATGAAATTATTGGCTTCAAGTAATACATAATGTCGAACTAAACTTGGTGAAGGCGCCCATCTGATGAGCCCTAAAAAGGACGTAACCGGTGGTGATCTGCCGAAGACTTTTGAGCAGCTTGTTACTCCCACTTTCTTGATGGTTATGAATCCACCGATTTCACTTCGCAAATAGGGAAACGCACTCCGATGGCCTAGTTGTGAACACCGAGGCATTATTTGATACCGTCGAATTTCTCATAAAATCCAGTTATCTAGTGTGGCTTAAAAGCGCCTGTTGTGTGCCTTGTCATCGGAAGTCGATAACAATGTTTTATCCCCTGACTAGCACTCTGCACTCACGCCGGTTGATCCAACTCTTGATTTGTTGGACTAGATAAGTGGTTAGGGAGCGAATTTACTGCCTGGAAGGTCCATGGTTCGAACCCGACCTCTGTCTCCCGACATCCTCTGTCTAGGCTTGGGCAACCTGACAATATCTCAGCCCTCGTGCTTCCTCCAGGTGGCATGGCAGCTAGGCACCGAAAGGGCGCTACAGCCGAAAGATTATTTATTATTATATTCAGATAAAACTGACCAAAAACTGACGAACAGCTGCTCGAATGATTGATCCAGGGGACTGGGAACAACCAATAGATTTTGGAGATTTAAAAGTTGCGCCGTTTGACGACCGTGGGCAAACTGGAGTGAAGTTGTGCCAACTTTGGCCGAGAACGTGATTCTGTCACACCTTCGTTACAGGGGGCAAGATGGCTCAGTGGTTAGAGTGCGAATTTACTGACCGGAAGGTCTGTCGCTCGAACCTGACCTCTCGACTTTTACTGTCTGAACTTGGGCAACCTGGCAGTATCCCAGCCCACGTGCTTCCTTCGGGTGGCATGGCAGTTAGGAACCGAAAGGGTGCTACGGCTGAACGATTTCTTTTCTTTCTTTCATAGAGGCTCGCATAACGAAGTTCAGTTGCAGGAGTAAGTAATACAAACATGGTGCATTGGAAGGATCCGAAATCTGGCTAACTCACGGAATAAGCCTCGAGGAAAAAGTTCTTGTTCATCAGATTATGCGGTTAGTTCAGTCAAAACTAGAATTTTACGAGAGGCTATAACGGTACCACCAAGACGATGACAAATCCATCTGGGAGACTGTCACAATGATTACCGGCTAAATATCTAAGCCCAATAAAAAAAGAATAAGTTCTACGGATATGACCCCTCCGTAGTTTTCGTAACCAGTGAGAACATCGTTTATAGTGATCCGCTTTAGAACGGATCTTGAAACGCGACGATAAATCGTTTTACTAAGTATTCTTGCACACCCAACCTAATAACCACTAGAAACGACAGCAATTTTGCAACAGAGCTTGGTGTAATCTCGTCAAACCTCCGAAAAATATGGCATCCATGTTTTGACGGGACATGAACTTCTGTGGCAAAAATATTCATAAAGTACGATGGCATACACTTGATTTATCTCCCGAGGGGAAATCGTTTTCTTCAGTCGGGAACCAGTAGGGCACGTGCATGGCTAGTGGAGAACATTACGTGTACTGATGTTTGGTCCGTTCGTCGAGTTTGGTAATTTTTTTGCAAATTATTCGTTGCGAATCCGGTTCGTAGTTGGGCGTGTTTACTCTCTTACCATTTGTATTGCTGTGGTTTGAAAACCATGTTTAATATCCTTGGAGTGATTGACTGATTGGAGTTTGGCTTCCTCCTACTTTCATTGGTTAATTTGCAACTTGTGGTGTGTTGTGGTCTGCTCCTGGCGACTTTTACTAATTCACAACATACCTTCGATTTGTTGCGTTCCGGTCAGACTTTGGGTTGTTTTCGTGGGCCCTGTTGTGTATTCACTTCGCATTTCATTGGTCCGTTAAGAATTGACAGTTTTGAACTCTCGTTGTGATTGGTTTGCAATACTTTGAGCTGAACGGATGTACAAATTCCCATGTCCATAGAGGTTCACAGACGGCACCGACCTCCATAACCTCTCCGCTGGAGGGGCACACCTCCATAAGGTCGTTTGGATTAGGACAGTGCCTCAGTTGAACTCATAACCTTCTCAAGCTTCGTGAAAGGAGACAAGTGAGCACCGGTCGCGCCTGTGAGTTCCTGCAGTTTGATGGATAATGTCGTTTGTTCCACGTGGCCGCAGTCTTAAACTCTGCATCTGACACTGGTATTCCTCCTCTCCTGCTCAAAATGTGCTGTTTGTAACGTGTCATTGGATTTGTGGGTGCAAATGTTATGCCTTGTTGTCGTGGAGGTCTAGCAATTATTCCAGAAATTTTCTTGACGTCTGAAATACTACTTGCTCACCTCATAGGAGTTGATAGTTCTCAGGGCTCGGATTTATTCGGATGCTTTTAGATGTGATTAGTCAACAGCTTTCTTGACAGACCGTACTACTCAAAAGTAGTCTACGACCAGTTTTGCCCTTCCATTTCGGGCTCATCAGGTAGGCACAGTCCCGAGTTTCCGTCGAACTCATGTTCTACTTGAAACCCGATTGCATGCAATTAGCGAAATACACTCATTTGCATACCAGTTTGGTTTTGACGGGAGACTCATCTAGAACCCGACAATTTCTGTTTTACGAACGAGTTCCACGAGTGAGCACAGTGCCACGGGGCGAATTTATGTACTTGTTTGGTGATTCTCATAAATTTTTCTAGGAATCGTTTTTCCTCAGCAGCATTGTACCATCCTATCTGCCGAGTCGCTGGATTATTCCGTTTTACCGGTCATTTATTGCACACAGTGGTTCTGGAAGGTGCGTTTTTAAACTCGGTCACGTGGAAAACACTTGTTAGTTAGGGGTCAGGGCAGATTTTGCTCAAAATAACCCAGGTGGTTTGGTCGAATTTGGTTTTTGAAAAAGACCGTGTACACCGTGTTGAACTGGTCACAAACTACTCTTCGGAATTCGGTGAATTCTTCGCCTGGAAGACTTCATCTTGTATTTACGCTACTGGAAGGCGGGGATGTTGACCGTACATCAGCATGCACGGAAGACTTGCCTGTGGGTGGCTGTATGAACGCACGATGGGCCAGCAACACCATCGACGAGTTCACCTCTTCTGGCCGCCAGCCAGTTCTTCGTCGTTCGGTTAGGCCGTTTGTTCGCGGGTTGTAGGGTGCTGTTATTAGCCCTCTGCTGTCCAGCTTCTGCAAGCAACCCCTAAACTCTCAAAGCAAGGCCTTTGATCTGTCAGAATCATTTTTATCACCCCGTGGTGGTGCAGTACCACTCCGCTAATCGTCATGGCCCGTTGATTTGGCACGGCTGCCACTTTGACCCAACGGGATAGGTGTTCTGTCATTATAACGATATATTGATTTCCTGTTACCGGAAACGAGCCAATGACATCAACGGACCGTAACTAACTTTCATTCCATACAAATTACAGACAATTTGGTCACCGAATCCGGATAACCGAGTGAGAAGCGTGCATGATTGAACAGTCCATCTACTGTCCAATACTGAGTAGAGTAAGACTGGCAGATTTTGAGGATTGTTGGATTCGACTGAGAAGTTCGGAAGACGTGCACACAATATTAAGGGAAAGTAGCTTGCCCACCAAACGGAATCGTTCAGAACGTATCGACTGATCACATGGGTAATACCAGTGAAAGGAAGAAGGCCTTCGTCGCGGAATTATTTACTAGGAAATGCCAACTGACCGGACTGGACAGGGAAGCAAAACTCTCATATGCATCTTGTTTACAAAAACTGAATATCCAACTTCTCCTCTTCTTGAACTTTCCTGGATGTTCATTGACTCCAATCATTCATCGCTCAACTCCAAGCAAATGCTACAAAGAGACTCCACAAATTCCGCGACAGATCTCCCCTTTTCAAGAGACGCAAAGCGAAATTCCACGAAAAACACATACTACTCGTGTGTCATCCCATCAGTAGTATCAACGTTACGCCAGTCCTGTGACAAAGACGTCGAACGTTACGTTGCTTGCGATTACACCTTGTGGTGGTGGAAAGTCGCGCGACGTGTTAGAGGTCGGTTTATGCCTTGCTTGTGTGGAACAAAGAAATGGGGTGGAAGGAGGGAGAATTCATACAACACAAATTCAATAAACCGAGTTTCTACCGGGGTTTGATAACTGAATCAATAACTCATGAACTACTTGACGTTCTTCTGACATTCTACCAAAATCTCGAATTTTACGTGTGAGAGAGAGAGGAAGACTGTCTGGGAAGGAACATAGGAGCAGTAACAGAACTTTTAAAGTCAATTTGGATGAACTCTGAACTGAAATTTCAAGCCCTCCTAACTACTCGTCGAACACAAACAATCTGCTCGGAAAAGTGGAAATCTCATGAGTCTCCACGTTTGGCATCACGTGACAGCAGTGTATTTCGTGCAGGGGTGGGTAAGATCACACTGCTCGGCAGTAACTGTTTGAAGAACAGTGTGGTCTGACGACTGATAACCGGGAGTTCGTGGGTTCGAATCTCAATTAGGAAGCTCGAAAGATGCGCACTAGCGGCCCTTTGTTTGTATGTCAGAACGCACCCAGACATAGAAAAAGTACATATACAGAGAGTGACGCATTCCCAAGGTCACCATCGGTACGGCACGTCCAGAAAGCAGGTGCGTTGGCGGAGCTCAATAAACACGGCTTAGCAACATAAGACTAGTGGAGTGGGGTTGAAATTGTTCACGACCGGAACACCGCCACTGGCTGTACAGAACGAACAAGTGAACGACCATATTTGGCCATTTAGTTACCCTATATATTTACGCAGACGCTCTGTATGTTTTGTCCTGGCAATACAGCCGTGTCCCCCAATAACTCATGAACTACTTGACGTTCTTCTGACATTCTACCAAAATCTCGAATTTTACGTGTGAGAGAGAGAGGAAGACTGTCTGGGAAGGAACATAGGAGCAGTAACAGAACTTTTAAAGTCAATTTGGATGAACTCTGAACTGAAATTTCAAGCCCTCCTAACTACTCGTCGAACACAAACAATCTGCTCGGAAAAGTGGAAATCTCATGAGTCTCCACGTTTGGCATCACGTGACAGCAGTGTATTTCGTGCAGGGGTGGGTAAGATCACACTGCTCGGCAGTAACTGTTTGAAGAACAGTGTGGTCTGACGACTGATAACCGGGAGTTCGTGGGTTCGAATCTCAATTAGGAAGCTCGAAAGATGCGCACTAGCGGCCCTTTGTTTGTATGTCAGAACGCACCCAGACATAGAAAAAGTACATATACAGAGAGTGACGCATTCCCAAGGTCACCATCGGTACGGCACGTCCAGAAAGCAGGTGCGTTGGCGGAGCTCAATAAACACGGCTTAGCAACATAAGACTAGTGGAGTGGGGTTGAAATTGTTCACGACCGGAACACCGCCACTGGCTGCACAGAACGAACAAGTGAACGACCATATTTGGCCATTTAGTTACCCTATATATTTACGCAGACGCTCTGTATGTTTTGTCCTGGCAATACAGCCATATCCCAGTTCTCTGTCTTCTCCCTAT